ACAGATATGGCACCAGAGCTCCTCAGAGGTGAGCAGGCATCAGAATGCTTGGAATGCAAGATCTGCATAGGCTCCCATTGAAAGAGTATTTTAAGACCCTATGCAAGGCGGCAAATCTGGAAAGGAATAGGGAACAGAGTTGAGGGAAGACACACAAGGTTTGTTGGTGCTCTCAGTGATGATAGGGACGTCTGTGCAGAAGAGAAGGGTACAGTAGGTATCCATTGCAACAAATCCAGGGAGGTCCACAGGAGAATCAGGAAACAGTCCACATGTCCATTATTAAGATATTTCTGGAGACAAAACAGGAATAGACACACGAAAAAAAAGAACCAGGAATACGGGGCTTTGTCCCAGGCCCCGGGCCCAGAAGGTCAGGGTGACTACTACTGGCCTATGCCCTCACTATGTGAAGCCTGGTGGTAGGCGAGCCATGAGGCAACCATTTTCCAAAGCTAAGCCCTGAAGGCAGGTCGAAGAAAACTGAAATAAGCGACTTAACTAGTCACACAAGGAACTAATAATTAAAAGGACTGTCTAAAGATGATTAGAGCGCCCTCTGGAGGAGGGGATGTTGACTGTGACACCAGGACAATGTACAAGGTGTCTGCGGCAACCAGCCCCCAGTTACTCTCCAGATACTGTCTTCAGATCTCCAACTTCACTTACATATTATCTACCAGCAGCTCCAAATTGCACCCTGAAGGCAGCTGAGAGAAGACTAGATTTTTTCGTAAACTTATGCAGTGTGGAATAGCTTTTTATACTCTACTGTCCAATGCCACTTGCCCTAACAATATAGTTGAGGTTTTCAGAATTACATTGCCCTCAGGATTATATCACAATAAGGTATTGGTGTGCCCAGGGCTTTTCTAAAATAAAAAAATATACAGACAAAATGGTTAATATAACTTTATAGACTGTTTTCATGAGCAAGTTATAATCATTCTCATCAGTGTATTATTTATAGATGTCTGCATTTTTATTAAAATATTTTCTTCAATTGATATCCCATATTTCGATGGCTGAATTAATCACATGTGTATTGAGAATAAATTAATTTTTAATTCATTTTAGATGTTTCAATCCATTTTACAGATTACCTGCTTGGGGTTTACCTATGATACATATGCCTACAGTTTTTAGCTTTATATTTTTTATCACATTTATGATTTTCTATTTCAGTGTAAGCTGCTTGCAGCATGCTTGAAAACAACTGAAATGTGTAGATATTTACAAGTCTTCATTCAGTAATACAAATTCTTAACTGCAGAAACTGTGCATTACTTAGTTAATCACACATTGCTCTGGGAAAATATATTTGAATTTAATTGTGGTGTATTACCATTTAACAGAGCAAAGCGCTTACACATTGTGAGCCAGATCTATAGCTCTGGTGAGTGGTTTTTCATTACCTTATACTTATTTTAGTGTCTGAAATAAGATCTTTGTTAAGTGAATTCTTGAGAACTTGGAATGCAGAGAGACTATTATAATGTTATTAGTATCTGATTACCAGTCATTCACGACAGACTTATGTTTTCTACTATAATTTTCTTTCCATGGTACTCTATTCTAGGAGACAATATTCCACCGAAAGAAATGTGTATTTGGACATGCTGTATAACCATTGGTTCTGATGTTTAGAGATGCCAAATGTAGGACTTTAATGTAACGGACAGATGTTGCAATATTTCCTTAGATCACTCTGCGCCAATAAAAGAAAGAAAGAAAGAAAGAAAGAAAGAATGACATATTATGGAAAATCCGCATGACTTGT